ACAAATATGAAAATACCCTCTAATTTTTGTATATTAGGCAATTACCTTTCTTGATTTTTTTTAATGTGAAATTCACCCTTATTTTTGGATATTCAAAATCCAAGGTCACCATGCGCGTAGATAACTTCTTGTTCACCCTTGTATAAAGGCATTTTTCAAAAAAAATGTAACTTCAAATATGGGAAATTCGAAGTTACTCTTGATTTCAAATTTTGAATATTCGAAGTTGCGTGGAAGATTTTCATTCAACTTTGGATATTCAAAATCAAAAGTCATTCTTGATTTCATATTTTCAACATCCAAAGTGACTTCCTTTTTCTTTATCTAAAAATGAAATAAGAAAGGACAACCTAACTGTGGATATTGAAAATCAAATGGCTCACTTTGGATTTTCAATCTTGAATGAGGGTAAAACTAGAACAAAAAATAAAAGACAGACAATCGGTAAGTACGTGTAAATACCAATTTTTTTTAAAAAAGTTTATAATTAGAGCATTTATATAGAAAATATGAAAGTTTCTTTAAAAAACTGGTGGGATCCCAATGTAGTACAGTCCAAAATATGGACCATATAATGCGGTAGGAACTCATCTCTCTTTTGAACACGTATTTAAATTTTTTATATTTTTTAATCAAAGGATGGGGTTTGCTAAGGTTATAATTTTAAACAATTAAAGTAAGGCCGACCGATGAGTAAGATGCAATTTTGGTATCAAAAAATTCTTAGGATGGCATGAGAACCTATTTTCATATCCAATTGTAACATTTTAAATTTAAAAAATGTTTTAAATCTTGTGGATTTATAAACACATGAAAATCTTGAAAATAGACAATCCACATAATATATCACAAGATGTACTACTATTTTTGGGACGTGAATTTTTTTTTTCTCCTATATCTATACATCTTGATATCGAGATGATCAATTAGATGGTTTTCCAACATTAAAACAACCGTTTTTTTTTTACCAACCACATCAAAACCACGTTTTCATAATTTTTGAGTTGCACCTTATTTCTACAATATAAGTTGTAGACTGTATATAGACCTTTTTCCATACGGCAATCCATGCTCTTGCTTATATTTTATAACCATGGAGGGAGAGAGAGAGATACAATTTTTAACCGGATTGGATTACGATTTGTAACCAGATTATTGAAATTAAAGTGCCATTTATACCCCATATATGGGTAGCTGGTTACATGCACATGTGCACACATACTTACCGGAGTATGGTAAGAGTTCACTATGGCACTCTAAGGCTACATCCAACGCCAGTTCCTACTAATGTATGGACGATTGGTAATTGGAGTACGGCCCACTCGCTCATTCATTGCTAAAGAAAATGGTTTGATAAGGCTGGAGTCCTATGAAAATAAGTAAAACCTCATGTTACAACCTATCAAATATTTATAGTGTTGAAAAACTTTTAAATCGATCTCAGCTTGAACATTATGGTTGTGAAAAATAATTAGGATTTTAAATTCTAAAAATAGTGTATATTGCAACAAATCATCTAGACTATTTATTTCTCCCTTAAAATCCGCAAGAGTTTTTAAGTTTTAGATCTGCAAAATCTATACCATTTTTTAAGTTTCAAATTTTATTGTCGGTTTGGGACATGGATTTTAGAACCATCATGAAGATTTCTGATGGCCAAAGTGCTTTTCCGATGAGGATATGAGGTGAAGCTTTATTTTGTTTTTATAAAGCCTAGGCCCTATAGAAACTTCATACGAGAGGTAATCTCCATCCAAGAATAAATCCAACGGATGATAGATGTTGCTAAGGCTACCGTACAGGCTTGTAAAATAGTCTATTGGACTATGATACATTTTCCTTCCATGCACATGCACATCTTCTCCATAAGTGCATGATTGCTGAAGCAGTTAACACACACGTGTGTCAGTATGTTTGTGCCTCATGTGAGAGTGAGATTAATTGATTTCTATCATTTTTGCTTTTATGGGGTCCATATCGTATACAGTGGAAGTGAGGTGCACCTAAAAAATCGACCTGAAAGCGTTGTTCCCGACATTCAAATTCCCTCCTATCCCGAATGAGATAAATGGATATGGAAAAGGAAGGGAATTCAAGTAAAAAAAATATTGTCTTTTGTAATATATATATATATATATATATATATATATATATATAATCATACTAACTTATTAAGAAGTAGTAGTATAGTAGTTTACGTTTTACGTTAACTACTACGTACTACTTCTTTATTATAGTTTA